CAGCAGCTATTGAATGCTTAACAGCGGAAACAAAATCAATAAATCAATATACATTGGACATTATGTGAATGAATGAAATCGCTGTCAAACCTTCTACTTGACTAAACATTCACCGTATATTTCTTGACATTGTCTACATCAAAAATGAGAATAGAGAATTTTTTGATAGTGAAAAAAAGAGTGAAGATAAGAAAAAAAAATTCCAAACAAAATTTATCACGAATACACAATGAAGAATTTCACGTATACCGTATATTTTTTTTTCCAATAAATAAATTAAAAATATCGTTCTTCACGACGTTATAATAATCTGGAGAAGATGATGATGATCTCGAAAAAAAAAAAAGAAAAAGAATTTGAGGTTGCCAGTATTGGCGGATAGAAGGCGCGATTGTGGTCATTTTTTTCACTATCGATAGGAGATCTCCTTTCTTTTTCTCTGTCTCTTTCTCAAACAAAGAATTCATAAAAAACAAAAAATGGCAACAAAAAAAAATGCGAAATTTTTGCAATCACAATTCAATGATTGGAAGGAATGGAAAAAACGCCAACGTAAAAAAATTGTAAATTTCTTTTTACTTGAATCAGAAAAAAAACCAAAACCATCAATTCGGGTGTATAAGATTAAAATGACGATGATGATGATGATGATAATGGTGGTTGTGAGTAAGAAAACGAAAAAAAATCAAGATCTAAGCAAAAAAAAAAAACAAAAACACTAAAATGGATGATGATACGCTTTCACACACACACACATATACATGCATGGAAATATAAATTCGTATCGACATCTAACATGTGGATATTGATGGCTGGTAAGAAAAAAAAAATGCTGCTGAATCAAGTGAAAATTTATGGCCATTCCTATTCCAGTGATATACGAATGGGGCTATGTCACACACACACACTAACAAAATGTTTGGAATTTGTTTTTTTTTTCTTGCAGGTTTTTTTTCATTATATTGCCTAACCCTTATATAACCATGAATGTGTGGTGTAAAGCAGAAATAAGAAAAAAAAAAAAAAATTCAAAGTTTAAATTAGAAAAATAAAATCAAAAATGATGTGGAAAATATTTATATGAATGAATGAATCCTCTGAGAGCGAGATACCAAAATGGAAAAAAAAGAAAGAAAAAGATGAATTGCAATCGACATTGGGCATTGGAGGATTGATTTGTGTGGTACACATACACACACACACACACATACTTGAACTTTAAACTTGCAAAAATATGAAAAACAAAAAAAATCGAAACCATTCATTTTCGAAAATCTTATCGAATCTAGAATGGAATTTTTGTTGTTAGGAAACAAAAATGCCGATATGGTTTGATTGGGTCATAAGGGAAACAACAGCAACAGCAACAACAACAACAAAAAATACGATTCTCTTATCGATAATGATGATGATAACTTTCCATTCATAGTAATAATAATAATAAACATTTATATGGTGGAAAATCGAGCGAAAAAATAAACGTAAAACGACCGAGGTCTCGTGGCTTGATGATAATGATGATCATCATCAACCATTTTATCAATGATTTTATTGGCTAAATACAATATTTTTTTATGATTATTATCATCATCATCATTCTTGGAGATTCTCTATTTAAATGGTCACAAAAATATAAATTGAATATATGTGTGCTTGAACACAACATTATTATCATCATTGGTGAATGGTCAAATATTATTATCAATTTAAATGATCATCGGAATGTTGTGTACACATGCCTCCAAGGAATTGGGAGCAAAAAAAAATTAGAATTTCTTAGAGAATTTGCTGGAAATAAAATCAATGTATCCGGAATAAATGAGAAAAGAGTGTGTAAAAATATCAAATAAATTCATCCAGTGAATTTGAAGTTTTTTTTTTCATTCATTCATTCATTTTTTGGATTGAATTTTAAAATTTTCAATTTGATTCAGAAATCATAAACAAAACGAATTTAATTCAGTTTGGGATTTGGATTTGATTTGTTCCATTCAAATCTCAAATTCTCCTTGATCATCAAATGAAAATGATGGAATTTCATCATCATCAAAATTCTATTTATGTTCCACCTTATATATTTCATTTATTATCATTGAATTTAAAATGAAAAATTTTCTTCCATCAACGAGAGACATTAAAAAAGGCATTTTTTCTATCGTCAATGGTGAACACGCTGGTTGGTATATATAATGAATTCACAGCATGTGAAATAATTAACAGAAAGCCAAAAAGAAAAATACCAATTCTTTTTAAAAAAAAACATTATCATCATCAAAACAACAACAAATCAAGATCAAGAACATATAATGATGATGATGTTCAATCGATAGTCCAGTCCATTCGTTTGTTTCTGCATTTCGCATTGGAAAAAAAGTCAAAGAAAATTAAAATTAAAACCTCGAACAAATAAATACAGTACAAACCCGTAACAGAACAGTCTAGCCATTTTGGAACAGATAAACATTTCATAGATTTTGGGTGATTTTTCCACCAAAGGAATGAATCTTTATTTTTTTTTTTTTGTTAATCAACCAGAAAAAGTCATTTTGATTAATAATCATGACGATGATCATCATCATCATGGTTATATGGTAAATTGATTTGTTTCGGTATAATGAAATGATAGCGATACAGTGAATAAAGAAAAAATGCAATTAAATCTATTTAATTTATCGAACGAGATGCTCAACAAAAATTTTATTTCATCAAATGTAAAAAATCCTGAAGAACTCGGAATTTTTTTTTAAAAAACATCAAGGAGTGAATTGATTAAAGATTTTGAAAAAAAAAATTAAAAACGAATCCATCAAATGATGATTGACATCTCGATTCGACAAAAACAAAAATCGCAATCTGTCACTCAAGATATGTATGTACACATTTGAACACACAGAAATAAAAAGTGATTTGATATACATGATTATTTTTATTATCAAGTCTGCGATGGATAAAACAACATGATAAACCATACATATCACACAAACAGAGGAAAAAATACACGTGCCACACTTTTGATATCTTACGTACATCTGTGCGTGAAAGGTATGTAACAAAAACATGCAATAAATTATCATCACTATCATACTAAAACTCAATTTGTTCCATACACACAAACACAAATGAATCTGTAATGGATTTCAACAACTTTGGAAATCTGATATCATACATACACACACACACTCATTTGCATAATTTAAGACATTTGTTTCAATCTAAAAATAATAATTTACAAAGGAAATCATCATTATCAATCATTTAAATAATAACCAATATGCATAGTCACAAAACAATTGTGACATTATTCAGGTGGTTGTATCCACCAATATGTCTGTTTATTATTTCATCCATTTTTCAACTCTATAAACACATACGGTGATATATTCATGTCTTTTTGGTTCATCGTCATTGATGCAACATATGTCGTTTGTTTTTTTTATTCGCTTAGTGAAATTGAGATATGATATAGATGATGATGATGAGATTGCCAACAACAACAACAACAACAATAATGTGGTTTTTTTGCCATTTGAAAATATCAAAACAAATGTAGTGAACACCTATAGTTTACCTGAATATGATGGAATTTTTTTTCTTGATAAATACATAACAAATGTGTCCCATCAGCCGTAAATATACATGTAATAATGTACAGAGAGCAGAAAAATGACATCTAAATATAATGGCCATCTAAAAATTTTTTTTTCGTGTGTGTGTGTGTGTGTGTTTGACGTGAAATGAACAATGAAAAATTGTAATAAATATCTCTGAGTGATGTGACAGTGAATGAATGAATTCTCTACGCTTGACTTGTTGGATAATGATTGTATTTTCATCAAAAATGAAATAAAATAATGAAACAGATCACCTAAACAACAACAAGGACATCCATCGTGATATTTGATGGAAGAAAAAAAAACTAAACCAAACCAAACAAACAAACAGACAAACGAAAAAAAGAATAGCCGAAAGTCAGATCATTAATCAAAAAAAAATTGTAAAATTTGACAAATTTTCAAATTATTAAATTTTACTACCATAGTGCCCCATTGTAACGAATCAATTTTTTTTTCTTGAAAATTTCAGTTCTCCCAAGTGAATGATCAGGAATGATTTGGCTAATAATTATAATATGGCAAGCAAATAATTAGCAGTGAAAGGGTTTTTTCAATGCACACCTGAATTTTCCAATTACAAAACAAAAACAAAAAAAAAATTCAACCAACCTGGCTACATATTAATAATGAGCATGACGAACCAATGATTTCATTGGTCATACTCTACATATCACAAGATCAACATCATCATCATGTATATATATCGTATAAGGTAATAATATCATTGTTTTTACGTTGTTTTCAAGTATCGACATTGAATGTCACCAAAAGACAAACAACAACAACAGATCTCTTTTGACCAAATGGTTGGTCAAAAAATAAAATATATAGGTGTGTGTGTGACAATCTGGCAAACTGGCAGAAAAAAAATTAATTGAATGTGAAATGTTTACACCCCCTCCCTACAAAAAAAAATATTCACCACCAAGTATTAGATAATGTTCAACACACACACACACACGAAAACTACGGAATTACATTCACAAAATTAGAAATTATTGGTATTGAAAAAAAAATACCTAACTACACGAATCAATATCAGTAACAATCGATATTTGAAAATTGGAAAAAAAATAATAAGAAGAAATTCAAATTATGCACAATCACATTGCTATCTATATTGGTGACGGTGGATACACTTGAATGAATTGTGGTCGTGTATTATATTATTGTATGAATGAAATACACAGCGCTCATTATCAGGGGCGAAAAATTTGTTTGGTTCGTTGTTTTCAACAACAATAAAAAAAATTTAAACAGTGGAAACAAAAAATTGATCATCATAATCATCATCTAAATAACAATGATGATGGTGATCACAATTTTCAATATTTATACGACATAAAACTAAAAAAAAAAAAAAAAAATCTGAGAAAAGATATTTACCGTGTGGTAAAGATTTCTTTATTGTAAAATTTTGTAGTTGTCGTCATAGTTGTTGTTCGTTATCGTTATTCAATGTTCAATAGAATATGATTGGATGATTGAAGAAAAATGCTGTATTTGCTGGTTCTGGTGGTGGTGGTGGTGATGGTGGTGGCTATTATTATCGTCGTTTTGCGTGCCCATCATTATCATGTGCCAATCTTGTTGACACTTGTACTAAAATAGATAACGAAAAAAAAAGAAATTCAATCAATATGGTGATATTAAACCATGGTGTAATCATACCATAGTATTCGATTAAATGAGATCAATTTAAATGCAAAATTTTCGCACACACACACACACAAAACACAATTGAAAACAATGAATTTGAAATCACGTGATTTTGGAACACTTTTGTTTTGGTTTTGGTTGGAACACACACACACCTTTTGAATTTTTATTGAAACACACATTGATGAACACGCACACAATCAATTGCAAAAGAGAACAAAGATCCATCAACACCGGTCGGTGGTGGATCATTTTTCATCATCCAACATCGGCTGATGATGGGCTTAATTTTCTGCTCAATTAAACCAAAAAAAAAAACAAAAAAACAAAAAAACAAACCACTTTTATGTAATGATCATGGTGATGTTTTTTTTCTTGTCAAACAAAAAACAAGTAAACAAACAACATACAAACTTTATGTATGTGATTTGTGGTCAAGTTTTTTCTTTATTTTTCAACGAATTGTGATGACATCTTTTTTTGGGGAAAAGAAATTTTTTTCTATTTTCAAGAAATCAACAATGACATATAATTTGATTATGTTGCTTACAACAAACAATGATCGCAATGTATGGCCATTGTTCAAAATTAAATTTGAACAATTTATTTCAATGGCAAAGGAAATTTTTTTTACTCGACCTTTTACTTTTACATCCATCGAAATTGAATGTAAAATTAGATTAAAGTTACGGAATGTAAATTGGAAATTGATTTGTTGTTGTTGGAACATTTTCTTTTCTTTTCTTTATCATCCCCTCTATATGTGTCATTGTCATTTTTCAATCACCCACTCAACTCACACACACACACACAATGTACCCGTTTAGCAAATAAACAAATATACCATGGACATTCAAGATGTTGTGATTGAGATTTCTTCTTCTTTCTTGTATTGATATTGGTTCCTTGGTCCCTTTTTTTCCAATTTTCATTTTGAAAAAGTTCCAAGGGAAAAATATCGCAATGCAAACAACAAAATCGAATTTTAAATTCAGAACTTATTCACAATGTTTGAATGAACAACAACAACAACAAATCAATATCCGTTCAACTGACAACTGTCATATAAATACGAATAATAACTTGCACACACACACATATATGAAAAACATATGAAATGCATTATTTTTTGCCTTCCAATTGTGGATGGATTTCCGTGATACAAGCTACTTTTTTTCATCATTTTTTTTTGTTCAAAAACAGGGGAAAGTGAGATTCTCAATTCAACAACCAGGGTTTTTTTTCTGTTGGAAAAAAATTAAATTTAAATCTAACTAAAATTTATTCAAACAAATAGAATTTTGGCATTTAGCATGGTGTTGTAGAATAAATTTTGAAAGAATTTTTTTCTCTTTTCCCATTTTCATTGTCAACAACCGTGATTGTTTTGTTATAAGTGGACAATATGGCTCCCTTATTTGGATTGTCAAACAATCTTGAATCTCATCATCATTTTAGTGGTCATCATTTAGTAATCGATTTTTATTTTTGCCATTCCTGTCCATCGAAACAGAGAGTTGTTCGATATATTCATTGGATCGATTTTGGTCGTTTTTGGTTGTTGTTGTTATTGAATTCTGTACACATGTCTCTTATGATTCAATAACAATAACAACAACCATTCTAAATCTAGAGAAAAAAAAATTCGATTAGATTTTAATGATGTGTGTGTGTGTGTGTTCATAAAATCAATGTGGACATCATCAAGTACTACCAATAATAATGATGTGTGAAAATGATTGCAAAAAAAATAACCAAGTTTTTTTTATATTTTTCATTTTGATATATTGATTGTATATAAAACATTTTAAAGCAATCATTTGTTTATTGATCGATATCGATCGACAATCCGGAATCATTAATTTAATTGATTTCATAATGCTTGAAATTTTTTTCTACTTAAATAATGAAGAAAACGAAAAACAAATATTGTTATCATTCACTATATTCATTATCATTGAATTCATTACCATTCATTCATTATAATAATTCAATAATGTCATTAACTTTATCATCATTTGCATAAAGACCTTTTGCAAATGATAATTCATTCATTTAGAATGGATAAATACAAAATATTATTCCATTGCCACATATTGTGTGATCTAAAATGAAGAGACGAAAAATTAAATTTTCTCCAAGTTTTATTACAATCAAGAAACAACAATGGAACTACGAAATGAGAAAAAAAAATTATTCAAATCGAATAAAATCAATCCTTTTCACTGTCGAAAAAAATGTTCATCAAACAATGATGATTGGCAATCGATCAATTCTGAATCAAATGACCAATGTCCAAATGCATCGTTTTGCGTTTTTTTCACATCATTATCATATATGACTGAAAATTGTATAAATTTCATTTCATTACACCAATCACATGTGGTATGCTTATATTCGTTAAAAAAAATTTTTCATCAATCTCATCATTTCCTTATATGTTTTTCTTTGTGTTTATGCAGCAGCATTCATTTGTCTTTGGTTTTTGTTTCGTTTGTATAATGAGATTCAAATAACAAAACGAAAAACGCGAGCAAAAAAAAATCAGAAAATAGTCAAAAGTTGTCTCCGAATCTCAGCAGAAGAATAAAAATGATTTGGACACACAGATACAACGAGGCAGAGAGAGAGAACACCATGGCCACCAATGGACAGAAAAAAATGACCAAATACCAAATGATATAGCATTCGCGAGCGCGAGTTTTGTTTTTTTTTCTTCATTGGTCATAATTCAAATGCACAGCAGTCGGTCTATTATGAGATTTTTTTTTATTTTTATTATTATTATCATTTTCTTTTGGCCATTTCGTGAACCTCATCCTCATCCGCGAACGCAAAAAAAAAAAAAAAAAAAAAAATAAAATGAAACGATTTCATGAAGGAACTTTACAATTGTCTAGTTATGGGTGAAAAAAACGGACAAAATGTTGCAAAAAAAAACAGAAAAAACGATTTTGCAAATGAAAATCGAAAATGAAATGAAATGAAGAAAAAAAAATTCACTAAAATAGCAAATGAGAGCGATAAAGATAACGTTTAAATAAATTTTTTTTCCATGGAAAGAAAATTGTTCCAAATATTTGATGAAAAAACGAGAATCAACCACCACCACCACCAGCAAGAGGTCAGAGGGTTTTTTGGAGGGGGGTGGTGATGGTGGTGGAAATAAAACAAAATGAATAACAAAATCTTGATTTGTAATGACGACAAATTTTTTTTTTCTCTACACTACAAATATCATTTCACATTGTACATCACAATGGTGGTGTGGTAATAAACTTGGCCATTTTTTTGCTTGCTTGTTGGTTTGAATAGAAAAGAAGCAGTATTCTACATTCATGGATCACTGGATATCATCATATATTTGTTTATCATGCATATTCATTTCAATAACACACAATAATGATGTTCGAATATCATTAACATGATAATAATTGTCCAATTAAAATCTATTGATTGTAAATGAATAATGTTTGTATTGAAAATCAAATAAATAAATGAACAAAATGAATGAAAATGAAGAAAAAAAAACAAATTCAAATCATTCAACCTGAAATAGATGAATAGAGGAAATTCAAAATGACAATTGTGTCATTTATAGATTTCGTGTGTGTGTGTGTGTGTTTTTCGTTTCACTCATTTTATTGTTCCAATATTCATGTTTTATCAAATGAAAAAAAACCAACAACGATGCTTCTCGGATTCAGGTCTCTCTCTCTCTCTGTGTGTGTGTGTTCAGTGGTCCAAAACATTGTTCATTTTTATATGTAAGGATCATATCGTAAATCGAATGAAAAAAAATGTTTCATCTCACTGTGTGTGTGTGTGTGGTATCAAATAAATTAAACTAGAAAAAACAGCAAAAAAACGTGTCAATCTCTTGTATGTTTCTTATCAAAATCGAAACGAAAAAGTAAAACAAGACAAAACTACACAGACACAGACATCATTTCCTATTTGGTATCAAAAATTTGTTTCGATGTCCATCGATTCTGTTCTGGTCACTTACTAACTCAATTATCCTCAATGTTTTTTTATTTTTTTCGACACAAAAAAAAGTTAATTAATAAAAATCCACCAGAGATTCCATTTGAATCGACCGAATTTTGTATTGACAAATTTTTTTTCTGTTTTCTGTCTTGTTTTACTTTTTTTTTGTTTGAAATCGGCACGCGTTATTGTACATTCTGTGTAATTTCCAATGCTGTTTTTTTCACATTTTCAGATTCAATAAACGGTGAAAAAACTATTTGAAAAATATTTAAAATATTTCAAAACCAAAAAAAACCGTGCAATGAACTAATCCACTTTCACTTTGGCTTTGGACGGTTTATAACCAACAAAAAAAAACCAGCCCTTATATATGATTGAATTTGATGATCTTTTCCTGCTATATGTATGGTCTTGTTGTTGTTGTTGTTGTCCATCATTTGTAATTAATGATTTTTGGTCGTGGTGCACTCACTGGTCTTTTTTCCTTCTTTTTTTTCTTCAATCATTCCATTGGTTATATTTATCTGGACCCTTTTTTTCGTCCATTATAGCGAGAGCAAGAGAGAGAGAGAGAAAAAGTCTATGGCTGTTATTATCATTACAATAATTAATTAATTATAATCAACAAAATTACGAAAAACACACATACACACCGAACACGGACAGAGAGCGAGAGAGACCTGAAGAATGATGGTGATGAAGAGGAATGAAAAATCAAATTTCTCGTTTTTTTTCGTTTTTGGAATTTGGAATTTTTTTTTTTGTTTCGCTTACTATAAGTTCATTAGTTTAGTAGTTTTGTGTTCATTATTTGATGAATCAACTCTATCTTGTCCAGTGTTTGGTCAGCCAACATTATTATCATCGGCTACTGGTATTCCAGTATTCAACATTGATATCAGCCATCATCATCATAATCATCTTCGGTTTTTTTTTGATGAAAATTCGGGTAGCTTCAGTGATTGTTGTCGAAAAAAAAGATATGATCAGACGTCATGTATTTTTGATGGTTGTTTTTTTTCGGTCGTCTAAATGAATGAATGTATGAAGGATCAATAAATCAAAATAAAAAAAAATTGACCTTATTCTCTCTCTCTCTCTCGGTGTTTTTTTTTTTCATCATCAAAGTAAAAAAGAT